TTAGGGAAGGGAAGATGAGAGAAAGCAGGGGTGGGGGCTTAAGGTTCCAGTGGCCAGAAGCAGCATAAGGGGAAAAGGGGTCTGTCCTGAGGCTGCAAGGGGAGATGGCACAAAGATGGCATAAGTGCGTATGTTGGGGTGGGGGGTGGGGAACAGGTGGTAAGGGTCAAACTGCTTGCTCCCTACCACCTGCCCCCCTCCTTACTGTCTGTATCTGATTGTTCTCCCCCACTGCCTGTCCCCTTACTGCCCTTCTGGCTGGCTGCCCTACTACATGCCCCCCTACTACCTGCCTCCCTGCAGTGATAGGGATATGAATTTAAAGTATCCCTTCAGTAATTCTCCTGGTATAGAATTTAGTTATTACACATTTAAATTTATAAATGTGTTATAATTTACCTTTTACAGAATCTAGTTATTGGGGGTCATTGTAAATTCAGGGTCATCTTGAATTCAGGTAAATACAGTAGTCACACTTGCACTATTTTTGTAGCACTAGGGCAGTTTACACATTTATGTACCCATATCTTGTAGTACTACAACGGCGTATACATCACTACAAATATAACATCTGTCCATGGCTTTAGTTTCCTTTGTCATGAAAGTTATGCTACTCTCGTAGTTTGAAAAAAGCTATTACCTCCATAAATTTACTCTTATTTCTAAAGATTGCTCTTTCTAAATTCATGTTCATTTAAAAATATCTATTTGATCAAAACATTTAGTCAGCTCACTTTACTAATTGAAGTTATCTAACTAATAGTCTGTCACTTTGCAATAGCATTAAAGAACATTGAAGAGCATTCCTATCTAAAATAAATGGAAATAGGTAGTATTATTAGCCCACGCAAGATGATTATATATTGTACCAACAATTAATAATAAATTGGTATATTGCTGTTATAGAGTATCTCATTATTTATAACAAATTAAAGATGAGCACAAACAGGTTTACTTTATTATCATTTTTGCACATTGTTTTTTATTAACATGGTGTGGTGGGACAGTAGGGGGTGCTCTGCACTGAGCTATCTGCCTCACTGCACACAACCAAAGCCAAGGTGCGGATGCCTCCCCAGGGATGCCAACTTCTGGCCAGTCCCCTTCCTTGGAGCACACCCACCAGTCTGGGGTAACCACTGCCACCACCTGAGCTTCGGTCTCTGTTGGGCCCTGTGCCACTTGGGGTACATGGGTCCTGCAGACCTAGGGGTTGCTTAGCCCCAGTGGGATATATCTGGGTGCTTCTTATAGCCTGAAGCATAGAAAGTAGCCTCCTTTAGTCGGCTGAGCAGAGGGAGCAAAAAGGCCTGCCTCTCAAGCGTGTACAACAATCCGTCTCAAACATGTATAACAAGGCATGTAATAACAGATGGCTTTATTGGGTAGAGAGGTGTGGGGAGGGGTACCAGTCAGAGTAGTATCAAAAGAATGACCCTGAGCAAATAGAAGTGGCTTGTTAGCCTTTTGATACACTTCTAGATCACTTCATCCTATGTTACTAGCTGAAATCCAAGTAAGTTGCTCACAGCTGCATCCAGAATTTGACTAAGCTCTCTCTATGGAGGCTGCATAGTTTGTCTGCTGTGTTCCCAAAACATGTCTGCCCCACTTCCTCATGGAGGGTTTTTTTTTTATATACCTGCTGTGACCTCATCACTAAGTTCCCACCAGAAGCAGATCCATTGGCTGCTGACTGGTGCTTCCAAATAACATCAGACTGACCAGGTGAGATGACTAGTCACCTGATCTGCAAGGGTGGGAACCTGAGACAAAAGGAGGAGCAGATTCCCCCTCCCATTTGAATTTTTACACCTTAACTAGTCCCATAGGCGGGGAACACCTAGGGGGGAGGAGGTGCTGCCTCACAACAGAGACAGACTTGGGGCATTTTCTCCACACATGGAAAGTTCAAAATTTGAAGTATAATCAGTATACATTTATCTCAAAATATGAAAAATGGATTGTTTATTGCTCCTTTTGATTGTTTTGTTAGAGGTGATACATAAGCTGGAATTTCTGGTACACACAATAGTCTGTCTTACACTTGTGGTAGTGAAAATCCTTTTAGCATAAATCATAAAACTTCAGCTTTGGAAGAGTTAGTTTTAATCTTTATTCTTTTTTAATGCAGGCTTTCATTAAAGATAGAGCCAGGGACCAGCACCCCACATTCTGCTGCTTCCAGAGAGGATTTAGCAGGTAAATGCTTAATAATTATTGGAATACAGTAAAATATGCTCCTTGTTATTTGCTACCTTTGAGCTATTAGGATAATAGCTTAAGCCAGCTTGGGTTGGTGGGGAAGTCCTCCAGTGAACTGGATCACAAGGGGGAGGCTTATAAGGGGTGGAGACTTGGACGGGCAACTGGGGAGGAGTGTGGGAGCGTTGCTTGGGTATGCAGGGGTGGGGTCGGGGAGCGGAGCGCAGTTGAAGTTGCAGCTAGCAAGGGATGTGAAGGGTAACGGGGTTCTACAAGTATGTTGGTAGCAGGAGGAGGATTGGGGAAAATGTGGGTACATTACTGAATTGGGGAGGCAACCTCATGACAGAGGATATGGGGGGGGCTGAAGTGCTCAGTGCCTTTTTTGCTTCAGTCTTCTTCTTGCTGCATTGAGTGGCACAGTTTGTAGGGGAGGTGGGCAGCCAACAGTGGTGAAGGAACAGGTTGGAGACTGGAGGGGCTGGACATGTGAAGGCCCATGGGGCCTGATGGGGTGCACCTGAGGTTGCTAAGGGAGTTAGCTGGTGACATTGTGGAGTCTCTGGCCATCATTTTTGTGGGCTTGTGGCTATTGGGAGAGGTATTATTGGAGAAGGGCAGGCATGGTGCTCATGTTTGGGAGGGGGTGGAGGGGAAGACCTGAGGCCCTGCAGACTGGTCGGCCTTGCCGTGGTCGCTGGAGGAATCATGGAGCGGGTCCTCAAGGAGTCCATTTTTGAGCACTCCAAGGGCAGGGAATGTGACTGGGAGCAGTTGGTGTGGCTTTGCCTGGGGTGAGTCATGCCTGGTTGGCCTGATTGCCTTCTATGATGAGATGACTGGCTCTGTGGATGCAGGGAGACTGGTGGATATGGTATAGTTTGATTTTTTGGTAGGGCTTTTGATGTAATCTCCCACAGCATTCTTGCAGGCAAGCTGGGGAGGTATGGGCTGGATGGGTGAACTGTGGGGTAGATAGAAGTCTGGATGGAGCACTGGGCTCAGAGGTTGGTGGTCTGGTGCCAGCCAGTGTTGGGTGGAGTGCCTCATGGGTTGGTCCTGAGGCCAGTTTTGTTTGATGTCTTCATCACTGACCTGGAGGGTGGTGTACAGTGCACGCTCGGTAAGTCTGCAGATGACACTAGGCTGCAGGGAGTGGTGGATGCACTTGGGGTGGAGCTACGATTGAGTGACCTGGACAGGTTGGAGGATTGGGCCAAAGGAGGTCTCATGAGGTTCAACAAGGACAGATGCAGGGTCCCGTACATAGGACAGAACGGTCCCATACACCAGTGCAGGCTGGGGGCTAATTGGCTGAGTAGTGGCTCTGCAATGAAGGATCTGGAGTTACAGTGAACAGTGAGCTGAACATGGGCCAACGGTATGCCCTTGTTGCAGGGAGGGCTGCATACTGGGTTGCATTGGTGGATGTGTTGCCAACGGGTTGGGGAAGATGATTCTTCAGCTGTGTTCAGCACTGGTGGGGCTGTGTTCGGAGTACTGTATTCAGTTTTGGGCTCCCCACTACAGAGGAGATGTGGACTGGCTGGAGGGAGTCCAGCAGAGGGCAGTGGGAATGTTGGGGAGGCTGGGGCGCATGGCCTGTGGTGTGGGGCTGAGGGAGCTGGGCTTGTTTGGTTTGGGGAGGAGAGATTTGGTGGCAGCCTTTGGCTGCCTGAGCCGGGTTTCAGAGGGGGATGGATCTGGATTCTTTTCGGCAGTGGCAGATGACAGAACAAGGAGCAACTGTCTCAAGTTGCAGCAAGGGAAGTTTAGGTTGGATATTAGGAAGAACTTTCTCATAGAAAGGCAGTAAAACACTGCAACAAGTTACCCAGAAAAGTTTTGGTATCTCTATCCTTGGAGGTTTTCAAGACCCAGGTAGACAAAGCTTTGGCTGGGATGGTCTAATTGGGGATGGTCCTGCTTTGAGCAGGGGGTTGGACTAGATCAGTGGTTCCCAACCCCCAAGCTGTGGCTCAGTACTGGGCCACGAAGGGCTGGTGCCAGTTCGCAGGAAGTTTGGCTTTTGGACTGGAAGTCTGGAAGTGACCAGCATACTGCGGAGCGGCAACCAACCTGTTTTTATATTGAGTATACAATGGTTGGTTGCTGCTACTCAGTATAAAAAAGGGTTGGCTACCATTCCGCAGTATACCAGTCACTTCTGAACTGCAGTTTGCCAATCCATGGTCTGCAAAGGTTGGGAACCACTGTACTAGATGACCTCCTGAGGTTCCTTCCAACCCTAACTTTCTATGATTTTTATGGTGAGAAATTTTCCAAGAAATAAAACAAGATGGAGATCATATTTAGAATTTTAAGGGAGAGCCTACTTTTTGTAGAAAATTGAGTCAACATCTTGATTATTTTGTTCTTTTGGTATTCTTCTGGTAATATGTTAGGATATGCATGATGTACAAGATTAAGAATTGTTAAATATATATTTCTTGTCTCTACACGGAAAAGCTCTTATGTAAATTATTCCCATTTAAAGTTTTGTTTTAGAACGGGATTGTCAAAAGAACCTAACAACTTGGATTGATTTTATTTAAACATGACATTTAATTAGCAAAATGTTCAAGTTTTCTAAATTAACTGGTATTACCCCCCAAGTCAGGACATTTAGTCATTTTAAACACTTTGAAGTCATCCATATCTAATTCATTTAGAATAAAATATTTTTAAACTATACACATTTGTCAAGGAGAAAATTATTAAAATTCACCTTGAAGATATGCAGTAAGTGGAAATTCTGTGCTATACAAGTATGTCTAGGGTTGCAAGATGCATTAAAAATTAAAAATTAAAATTAAAATGTATTGGGGTCAGATGAGATGATCATGTACTGTTTAACACTATTTAAATAAAGAGAGAAATGGAATTAGATTTGGTATTAGAATTCTGAATCTGAATTGTCTGATTTCTCTGCAACTGAATACCAAAGTTTTAATATTGTATGCAAAGTCTTTTCCATCAAGAAATCAAAATGGGAGCTGTTGCATTAAAAACAATAAGGCTACATGTAATACAAAAGAAAAATCTAAGTTGTGGCTTTTAAACGCACATACATATCCTTTGTTCTTTATATATCCACCACAGTCGTTTTCCCAACCCACCTTCTCCATTTGCTAGTTCCCTGCAGTGTTGCCAGCTCAGCATATGTAATTATCTGGCTTTTATCATGTTCATTGTATGGATCAGAAAAAATTAAAACTGACATCGAATAGCAATTAGAATTGCCTCATGCTTTCTCGGGGAGAAAAATTTTTGTTTTACAACATTGTGTTTATAATAATAACAGCACTATAAAAGTGAAAAGATATATTTTCATCTTATTTCTTCCAGGTGCTTCCTTTGTCACAATACTTCAAAAGACATGTTAATTTTCTAAAGGAAATGTGTATATATATATTTTTAAAAAACTCTAATATTTTATATTCTTATTGTTAATTATTGACTACTTGTAATAATTCCATCTTAGATTTAAACAAGAACTGCTCTTTTATGCATATTTTCTAATAAAATGCCATTGCCATTCTCCATACTAATCTTGTACACATATTAAAAAGATACCAACCCTATATATTCTTGGAGGTTGAGGAATAACATTAACAGGGGTGGGCAATTATTTTGGGTGGAGGGCTGCTTACTGAGTTTTGGCAAGCTGTTGAGGGCTGCATGGGTAGCCCTGCCCTTTGACAGGTGCTCTGCCCCTTGATTGCCATCTTGTGACCGGAAGTCCTGTCCCCTAACCCCCAACCTTTGCCACCAGAAGTCCCTCTCCTTGCCCCCAAAAGTACTCCTTTCAGCAAGTGGTTTTGCCATCTCAGAACCAGAAAAATACCAAATTATATTCTAAAAAATGAACATCTACAACATTCATTAATTTGACTTTTTTTTAAAAAAGTTTGTCTTGATTTGCATGTGTTTGTATAGTGTACACAGAGGTGATTGCACAATAGCTCAAAATGAAGTCTTACTCTTACATATTGGGGGGGTTTAGGGCAAGGTTCCCTCTAAGCTGTGTGCATGCGCAGCTGCGCACACACAAAATCTTGCTGTGCACCACCTTTTTAAAGCCATACACTTGCCCAGAGAGGAGCTGGGTTTGGAGTGCAGCAGAGGCACCAAGGCCGGCGTGGGACACTTACCAAAGGTAAGCTTGTCACTCCTTATGCAGGGCAGACAGCGGCTCCTCCCCAAGGCGGGGGCTGGCGTGGGCTCCGCTGGCTCTGGAGAACTGTTCCACCCCCATGTATTGCTTCAGGGAGCGAGGAGGCACATGGCATCAGGGCTGGGGAGTGGAGCATTTCCCTGAAGCTGGCAGAGCCCATGCCAGCCCCAGCCCTGCCTTGCCTCATTTTGGGGAGGATCTGCTGCCTGCCCTGCTTGAAGAGTGAGGAGCTTACCTTCAGTAAGTGTCCCATGCTGGCCCCGGTGCCCCCCTTTCAGTTCTGTCAATTGATTGTCTGGCCCATGGCTGGGCCACAGCATCAATTTTACCTTACTGTGGGACACTAATTGGTGGACTGTGCTGAAAGAGGGAGGTGGGACCAAAGCAGCGCATTCATGGACCAGTACTCCTTAGAGGGAACATTGGTTTAGGGCATGTGGGGTATGTATAGGCTGTGAGTGGGGTGAGGGAGCATGTGCATGTGTGTATGGATATGTGGGTGGTGGGTGGGTTTGGGGTTTGTGCAGGGCTGTGTGTGGAGGTGTGAGGGGGTGTGGGCTTGGGGGGGGTCTGTGTATGGCAGTGTGAGAGGGTGTGGATTCATGTGTATGGTGGGGTGTGCATGTGGGACACATGCACACACAGTCTCTCCCTCCCTTATTGCTGTCTCTCTCTCTCTTCCCCCCCTCCCTCATTGCAGGGATGTGTGTGTGCACATATGCGCACATGCGCATACACATCCTTTCGCTCCTGGCTTTGGGGGTATTGCCATGGGCCCCGTGCTCCTGCAGTCCAGTGATGCAAGCTGCAGCAGGAAGAGGCTTACATTGCGAGGGGGAGGGAGGAGACTGAGATGAGAGAGGGCAGGGCTGGGCTGGCCTTGCTACTGAGACCTGCCGGCTTCCCCTGGGTCCTACTGCCCTTAGCTCCTGTTACCTTTGACAGGCAGCCAGGAGCAGATGAATATCAATTTTTCTAAATATTTTAGGGGCCCTGTGGGCTGGATAGAATGGCCTGGTGGGTCAGATGCAGCCTGTGGACCATATTTTGCCCACCCCTGCATTAGGGGTTGTCATAACTATATTTATTCTGCTCAGTTGGAAATTCCTGTTTTTCTGTTGTTCATAGGCTCTGAAGTGGGAGCATCTCCACAAAGTGGAAGGAAAAATGTTGCAGCTGAAGGAGCACTGCTACCACCAACCCCCCCATCACCTAGGAACCTGATACCACATGGGCATAGAAAGTGTCACAGTTTGGGGTACAAGTCAGTATTTTATTCAACTTAATATTTAAATTGTAAAGTATATTCACATACTGCATTGCCTTTTAATACCAAAGATTTTCCTTTAAAGGAAATTATTTTCATTACAAATTTTACTCTAAGAAACCACAAAATGCAACCAATTATTCTGCTTTTGAGTTGGAAAAGTATGCTAGTAAGAGTTTGTTTATTGTTAATCATCAGTTTTCAAACATAACATCTTGCTGCTTGATATTGGAAAAGTGCTAGCCGATTAGAAAATTGTATGTATCGAAGTTTTACTACAGAGAACATAATCCTTGGGTTGGGGCAGGGAATGATGAAGTAGGTTGGGGGAAAGATTTGGAGTTGGTCAGTATCTGGCCTTTCTAATTGCAGCCTAAATTGAGAAATGGTATACCACCAAAAACGTACTGTATTCTTTGCAGTTCTATTTCATAAGAGGGTCTGACTGAAGGACCCTGGCCACACATTACATTTAAGATGTGATTAATAAATTAATTTTATCTTAAGTTGTGACCTGGCCACACATTCAATCAATTAATGGGATAATAAAAAGAGTAATAAGCTGCAAAGGAAAAAATGTGTAATGCTTTTGTGGCTGGTTCCTGTCACACCATTAATTGAACGTATGGCCAGAGGGAACCCCATGGCTGGAGATCCCATCAGCTGAGCCAGGCTCCCAGCCGTGGGGACACATCAGACATCTGATACGTCTCTGCAGTTGAGAGCCTGGCTCAGCTGATAGGACTCCCAGCCATGGGGATGCATGGTGCACCCCTACGGCAGGGAGCCCTGTTTAGCTGAGGGGGCTCCCAGCCATGGGAGCTTGCCACTTGCTGGTTCAAAGGGAGTCCAGTATCATAATCTGGGGCTCTCCCTGTACTGTCAGTAAGGTGTGATGTGGTTTGATATGGGATCCCACAGTCATGCCTCCTGCCTCTCATGTGAGGCATGGCAGGAAGTGCAGTTGTGTGGATCGTGCATCAGATCCTGTCACACCTCTTACCTGCATGTCTGGAGAGGCCCAAGGAAAAATGAAACAACTCTTTCTTAGTTTGCTTTCCTAACCTGGATTTCCACATTATACATTTGAATGAAAACATGCATCTCCAGTTGTGTATTTTTTTAAAAGTGTTTATACTTATGTGATTTTTTTAAGAGGTTGTAACAAGTCTGGTTTTGTTTACTTTTTGACACTGTGAGAATAGAGCTAATGAAATTCTTAATCTGTCAATCTTGTATAATATTTCTCAACTAAACAAGCTTTCTTTAATCATAGCTAATATAACCGAATCAACTCAGTTAATACAGAATATTTCAGTGACAGATTTTAAATTGTGACCAAGTAATATCAGCAAAAAAACCCTAACAAACATTTTGTTAGCAATTAATATCAATGTCTTTTATTCACTCTCTGGTTATAATTAACTCTCTAATGTCTTTCTTCTCTTATGCCTGTCCACTTATGAGGGGCTTTCTGTAAAATGCATTCAGCTTTTATTGTTTGAAAATGGATTCATCTGCCCTTTTATGTAAGAGCTACGTTAAGTTACCTGTCCTTGGTCATATGAAACTTCAAGTCTTTTCTTTCTATTGCTGTTGAAAAACAAAATATATACAAAATGTGCCCCTCTCCATCAAAAGAATGGAAAGAGAAAAATTTCCTTTTGTTTTACATATTTGTGCTTCTCAATTTTGTACAGTACCAAAAAAAAAAGAGATAATTGGTATTTAATAAATCCTTTTTTTGGAGGATCTATTAATTAGATCAAATGTTGAGGCAATTCTCTCACATGTTCTGCCCCGGGTGATCTCTAGAGCCCCCAAGTAAATTTATTACTGTGATACTGATATGCAGGTCTGTAGATGATATGAGGCTCCCATGACTGGCAGCTAGTCATCGAGTTAAATCTCTGTACTTGTCTCTACCCTCCTTAGTGGGTTTTTAAAGATTGGCTTTATGACCTGTAGGAAGACTTCATACTTTGTCCAATGTTAGAATAAAGCCTTTTGGTTGTGACTTCTGTTTCTTAGGGTATTTTATATGGTCTTTTACAGTGTTAGCCTCTTTGGTTAAAACATAGCAGGGCATTTTGGGCGTAAGCGCAGTTCTGAAATAAAACCATTTTGTATACAATGATCATCTACTGAACCACACCATCACTCTTCATAGTCATAAATGATGCGTGTGTTTGACAGTCTTGCCATTAATGTTCCCCGCTGCTATGTAATTTCACATTTATTGCACATGAAATTGGTTATATTTCAAAATTGCCATTACTTTCTGAAACATCCTTGTAGCTTGATTTCTAAAAATAGCAATTTCCACCAAGCTACCTGTGAAGTGTCGTATCAGTGTGACTTCATACCCCTTTTTATTCTGCTTGTGGTTTCTGCATCATTGAACCGTTCTGTCCTTTGGGCCTGTATTTACCATTCTTGGGGAGGAAACAGGCTCCTTTTTCTTTCTTCATGAAGCTTTGATTGTTTTATATTAAAAGAGTTGAATAAAAATCATGTTCACATTACTGCTCATTTTAACTACAATGTTTGTAGACACTCAAAAATGCAGCAAAAGAACTCTAAGGTACATCTCTTCTATCACTTACCCTTAGGGGTTACAGAGGTCATCAAAAGTCATCACATTTGTTGTAGTACATACACTTTCAGTGTGATGAAAAGCCAGCATTGTGCTTTAGAAATGGCAGATTCACCACAAGAACAGCAGATCCATGACAAAAAGCTACCGTTTCAAATGGAGGCATTTGGGTAGCAGGATTAGGTGTTGCCATGGGAGCAACAGCTGATTGAATAAGTTCGTCACTAAGCCTGTCCAACTCGGACAGGATTCCTTGGGGCAGGGAGAGCTAAGGAGCAGCCTGGCTGGGGAGTACACCTTTGTGATGACTTAGTTGCGTTTCAGCCAGGGGTTGTGTATGCCTGCACACCCCATAGCACTGTATTTTTGTACATCAGTGTCAGGTTTTTTAGGCATCAGTGGAATGCATAGCATATTTGAGCAAATCTTTTAGCTTTCTTTTGAAAATAGACCTGTCAGTGTCTCCTTGTTTTCCTTGTCATCTTAAGAAGGAAAACTGTTAATCTTCTGCAGTTCAGCTCTTTGTGAACAACTACAGAAGAACTGCATATTTTAAGAATTAGGATAAAAATCTGAAATTCATCTTTGCAACAGTTAGTCTAACATGATCTCATTTTGGCGTATCACATATAATACATGAAGCTTTTCAATTGTAAGAGCTCTTGTATTGAAATTTAAGTATTCTCTTTTTCATTTCCTGTCCTCTCCTCCGTTCTCAGGAGTATTGTACCAGTTTTTGATACTAAGAACCCAGACAAACATATTACTATATTTTTACTTCATCAGTGAGTCCCCAGTTCTGTCAAGGGGTACCATGCAAAACTGCACACTATCTTTCAATACCTTGAAGCACTGGCTATTGAAATTTATTGAGAAAAATGTTTCTGTCCTTATTTATTCCCAGTTTCATACATAAAATGAACACGGCAGAATTTAAAAGTGCAACATTTCCTAACGCAGGACCAAGACACCTATTGGATGACAGTGTCATGGAACCTCATGCCCCATCCAGAGGGCAGGCGGAAAGCTCTACCCTTTCTAGTGGAATTTCAATAGGTGAGAAATCTTTCTAAGAAAGTGTTATAATATATCTTTTAGTACAGTTGACTTGAGGGTGTGTACCAGCAGAAGTACAAGTAATAGCATTTTAGAATAAAGATAAGTATGAAATGGCAGAATAAATAGTATGAACTGAACTAAAAGTTGACAGCTTATAGGAAATAATAAGATTATTTTAAGCTTGTTTTAATAGTATACCAAAACATTGTATCCCATTATCTGCCAAGATGTTTTTCCCCAAGTGAATTCTTTATTTTAATCATGCCAAATTAAAACATTCTTTCCTGAGTTACAGATCTTTATTGACAATGTGTTAGTAAATCCTAGGTCACAAGTTTCAGAAGTCATGCCATGTCAAGTGTTTAAGTCACTTTATCTGTGGGGATGATCATACAATTTTCAGATTGCCAAAAATGTGTGTACTACTGAGTTATTTATCCATGGGTGTACCACTTGGCATATTAATATAAGTGTAATTTTCATCAGTTTTGTGCATTGATGTAAGTTACACTGGTGTCCTGAGCCTGCTGAAGTAGCTGCTCATATAAGGACTATTATAGTATTTCACTGGTATGGGGCAAGGCAGCTGGTGATAGGCTGCTTAACTTCAGCAAAGGGTTTACTTTGGAATGAAACGAGGTAGTGTTGTGGACCTACGAACAGTACATATGCATGATCCATAAAGACGACATTGCATACCCATTGATTGTGTAGATCAATGAAAAGGGTATTAAAAGTATGGCCCATAGGCCAGATCTGGCCCATTGAGCTGCCATCTGGCTTGCAGGGCTCCTGGAGGAGTCTGGAATTCAGGGGCAAAGAATAGGAGCAGGGTCCAACACAGAAATCAAAAGCATGGAGCCCCGTTTTGGATCAGCATTGGCCACAAGCAGTTTCAGGGGCAGTGGAGCAGCAGCTGTGTTAACAGCAACTGCTGCCACTCACCCTGCTGCCACAGAATCCCATAATCCAGGTTTGGCCCAGGGGCAGGGTGATTTTGATGGGCCTGGCATGAGTACATCAAACTCTAAGAAAACTCAAGGAGGATGTAGCATGTATGGTCCCATTTGCATCTTTAGCTCAGACAACTCTGGTGCCTAGTGTTATGAAGGCAGTCTATTTAGATGCTGCTTACTTTTTATTCCACCCCCAGTCACAGATTAAGGGAATTATAGTTCAGATGGGCCTGTTACTGCTTGACCAACATAGAAAAATCCATCCTAATTAGACTAGAATATCTTTAGTAGTAGCAGAACTGACTTAGAAACACAGTGTCAAATGGAAAAAGATTTTTATTTGGGCGTAGAAACATCAAGTATTGCCGTTTGTTGCAGACATCCCACTTTGGATTATTTGCTTTTGTTATAATTGGAAGCACTTTTAGTTCAGTAAAAGTTCACTTAACAGTTATATCTGTTTATCATCAGTTAAATCCAAGAATACAAGGGAGTTTCACATTCCAAGGTTACCAGATTTTTAAAAGGGTCAGAGTATGTTTCTTTTGAAAGAGTTTCCACCTTAGAGGGAGCTAAATGTTGTGGCTGGAATGATGAAAACTACCTTTTAAACCATTAGTCATGTGTTTTTTGTTTAACATCTTTTTATGAAAAGCTTGGTTTTACTTCAGTGCCCATATTAGGGGAAATTAATACATTAATGATAAGTTTACCTTTTATGATTTTTCATGGGGATGAGGTCTTTCTCATACCTCTGCTTAATTTATTTCTCAAGACCTGTTTTGGAGTTTTATATTATTCAAGTTCCTTTTTCCATGATGCCCCCTTTTGGCTCTTCAAGGTACTCTTTCTCCACCCCCCCCTTTCTTGCCATGCCTTGATGGAATTATTTTTTGCTGTACAAGGGAGACTGTCCCAGGGTCCCCAAGTGAGCCCTAGCCGCCTTTGGCCAATGGGTTCCTTCTGTATCCAGCTGGCCTCCAGCCCTGTTCCTCAAGCCCTAATCAAGGCCTCCTTTGTTCCCATCAGTGCCTCTGGGCACTCATCACCTCTGACAGGGCTCAAAACCTAGTATGTTCCTCAAGCACCCCTGTGGCCACCTTTCCACCCCTTGTATCCAAACCAGTCCTCCAGTTTCAAACTAGAACAAAAGTTCAAGCAACCCCTTTAAACTCAAAGACAGCCCCCTGCCCCCAAGTTGTCATACTACTTCCCACTCTCTGGCTCTCAGCCTTGTGAGCATCTGCTACAACTTGCAGCTCTCATTCCCCACCAGCCTCAGCTGGCAGGAGCTTCTCTTGCTGTTGAGTTCAGGGCTGCACTCCCCTCTGCCACTGGGGCCCAGGCTTAAATCCCCAGGCTCCTCCTGCTCCCTCAGCCTCCAGAGTAGCTTACTCCAGTGTTCTTGCTGCCTAACCAGGGCTCTGCCCTGTTCTGTTGGTAGGCTGCTAGCTCTGCAATGGGCACTTACTGCCTGTGGGTTCCTGGCTGTCTACTCCCTGCAATGCAGTCTTCCCCCACCTGAGGACATCCCTGTAGCAGCTTCTCCCTTAAAGTAACAGGAGCCCCTAGCTCCCCTGTTGCACCCCCCACAGCTTAAAATGGCATGACTTGAAAAGCAATGTATGTATGCTCTGTACATAGGATATTTCTTTGTAGTTAGATAAGAGTAAATATTTGATGTTTTATCTAGATTACTTGTAGTTTATGCCAAAAGAGTAAAAAACAAAGTCTAGTTCCACCCAAAATCCCAGGTTGCTCCTGCATATTGTTTAGAAATGTTCCTATCACAGCCATTTATGTGCCTGATGCATGGAGTACAAGCCATAATAAAACAAAATGAGAGACATCTAGATCAATGGTTTTCAACCTGTGGTCTGCAGACCACTGGGGGTCTGCATACTTTCAAACGGGTCCACAAAAGATGACTATAATCAATAAAAAGTATGTGAATAACCACACTTATAATTCAAAGGGGTTGTTACCTCCATTTGAAATTTCCAAAGGGGTCTCCAAATAAGAGTTGAAAACCACTGTTCTAGATGTTTCCTTTTGCAAGAAAGCTTTCTGATCATTATTCAGTTAAGATTCCAATATCCTGCTTCATAATATGAGATCACTGTTTGGGAGTCTGCAAGAGTATAATATGTAAAGACAATCAGAAGAAAGAAACAAAAAGCTACTCTATATGTCAGTGGTGCTCAAGGTGTTTGCCTTGTGGGCCAGATGAATGGCTTGGGGCTGGTCCACAGTCTGGATTGGGCTCTGTGCTGTCCCCACTTATCAGGATTGGACCCTGGGGCTGCCCTTGCCTGGCCCCACATGCTGAGATTGGGCCGCATGCCACCTTGCGTGCCTCTTCTGCTGCACAGGACCACAGCCTTCAGGGTTCCCCAGGGATAAGTGGAGAACGCTGCGGGACAGATTACATGGCACAAGGAGCCAGATCTGGTCCACAGGCTGGGCACTGAGCACCCCTGCTATATATTCATTAAAATATGGTGCTAAAATTGACACGGTTAGGATTTAGTGATGTGGCTGTTTTATAAATCAGACCAGACTATGACATGTAATCAGCCAAATTTGTTTCTCTTTGGAACTAATGGTATTTGCAAGCTATAAATTTTACTCAGTGTATGTCTTTGTAAAGTGGCTAACTAGAGTAAAAATAACATATAGTATAGGTGAGATCTTAGTGGTTGAAGTAGTTAAAATATTGTTGGGAGAGCAAGTTGAAACTTCACCTAGAGTAGGTTGGTTCCTTCCCTAATTTTATTAGATCTGTGTCCATTTACACTAACTGAAGATCTGGCCCCAAAGTTAGGTTGCGTCTTCATTCCTTCATAATGGATAAATATAACTAAAATGTGTTGTTCTAAGAAGTGGGTCTCCCATGGCTTGTCTTTTACATTAGAAATTCACATTTTCTATAGGCTGCAATCTTACTATGGTGATTAGAGCACTATAAAAATGGTATTATAGGAACCAAGAGAGTGTGAGTTGAAGGTCGAGAGAGGAAAGAATTTTTAATCTGAATGTTTTTGAAACTCTAGAGTTGGTTTGTTTATGTTAACACCTGTTTAACTTCAGTCACTAACATTTGGATAAAGGAAGTCTGTGTTAAAGATTTGGTAACCTCATGCTTTCAGCTAAGGTATTAGAACTCCCAGTAAACGAAACTGAACTGTTTGAAAGGTCCCCCAGTAAAATGCAGGGAAATGCAACTTGATATTACTGATATTTATAACACATTTAAAATAACCAAAAAAACCCAACCATTTTCATCCAACCTTTTTACATCACAAAGTAGTAGATAAGGATGTGAACCCAATTTTTCAGAAGCCTGTATAGGTTTCTTGCAATTCCCAGTCCAGTACTTTTCAGCCTTATGGAAAACTAGTAAGATGTTTGTTTGTAGCAAGCATAGGACCTAAGCATCAAAGCATTCAGGAGTGTAGTTAATTGAAGTGTTAAAACTAGCTACCAGGAGCCATAAAGATTAACCTTTAAGATAACTAACTGGAAAGAAAAAGTGTATAGTACCGTATAGAAGGATGGTTTAGTAGGGGACAATCCTGCCTTAAGCCAGGGCTGGAGTAGATGACCATGTGAGGTCCTTTCCAACCTGACATTTGTCTGGTCCTAAGGAATAATTTAAGGGGATTGTTTTCAAAAAGTATTGAAAGAATAGTCTAATAGTGTAATTAATATTGTTGAAACAAAACTTAGCTAGCTGGCTAACAAATTTTAAAGAAATTTTTTGATTATCCTTTTTTGTCACCATTATGGATATGGGATTTTTCCCAGTAGTGTATACACAATTCCTTTTGCTCAAAAAAAAAATTAAAATAAACTCATGAAGATGAAATGCAAGGTAGGGATTAGGCTCATGTGCACCTTTTGTTACTTTTAGTAGTACAGATCAGATAAAATTGTAACTATCTGGAAAAGATGGAAATGGGTGGGGAACTTATAAACAAAATAAATTTACCTTTTGAATGATCTGTAATGAGTCTTTTAATGTAAAGTCTGATTGGCAGTGCTGGGATGGTTCTCACCAGAAAGCGTCTCATAAGAAGAAATAGTTTAATAATTAAAAAAAGTAACTGTACAGAATCAACACTGAAGTTCATCTGAATGATTTATAGATGGTGGATGTCAGATATGACTGTCAGATATATGAAGGCCACAAGATTCAGCCCCCCAAATATTGTACTAATTGCACTAAACTTGCTTTAACTAGATTCATGTAATAATAAGGTTCAAAATAGACATTAAACATTGGAGTGCTAAACAACCGATGTCAGGGAGAGACTCAAAGAGCACGTAGAACACTGTGGAATTGGCATTGTAAGATGGTGACAAGTCTTAAGAAAAATTCTGAGATTAATTTCAAGGGAAACAAAATTTAAGATAAATGCTAGCTAGCAGCTCTACTTGAAAGTATGTGAGCATATAGGGTTCAAATAAATTATTCAATACCAAATATTTTAAAATTTAAAGAGCGCTTGTGATAAGACAAAGAGATTTAATTATCTGAATTACTTAACTGAAACACAAGTGTGGTTTTCACTTTGTCTAGTCTGAGACACTTTGGGAGTTCTGCCCATTCAACTTTTAAGTTGATTTACATAGTATGGCTATACGTTCACTTTGGACTAGCTTTTTAAGTAGTCAGTTACAGGAACTGAACTTCATCTGTTCTGATTGCTTTATTTTTCTCATTTGTATCAATGGAGGGCACAGACCACAGGTGAATTGTGACCCCATTGTGCTTGGGATTGTATAAACACATAGTAAAACACAACTAGATGTTGTGAGGGCATTGTTGTCTTGTTTGGATGCCAGGTACACCTGGGAGTCATTGAGAATGAACCTGTCAGGCACACCAGTCAGTCATAGGCAAAAGATTCTCTTCCCAGTATTTCCTAGTCCCAATGGAGAAAAAGAGATAGACACCCAGGCTTTTAGCAGCCTCATTGCTCTCTGTATGTGCATCACTGTACTAGCTTTGATTGAGCATAGAGTTCATTGGCACTTCAGTAGTTTTGGAGTCAATACTAGCATATCTTTTTTCTAACAGAGGTCCCAAATGATGATAAACCGTTTCTACTCATTCCTGTCCTATCCCATCCTGAGAGAAAAGGAGCACAGTTCAGTATGTCTGTACATTTATACAGAGTGCTAAACTCTGATTTAGGTCCTTGCAGGGGTGGTTGAAATCTGTGCATCTGAAACAAATGCAGCGTAGATAGTTACAGTCGCTCCAGAAGAACTTTACTCTTTAGACTGGTGGATAGATCTGACTCAAGTATGCAGCAGGATACCCTTTTTGCAGGTGCTGCTGATAAAGACCCTTGTTATGGACACCTCCACTCAAAGGTGAGAAGCCCACACAGATCAGCTGAAGGTTCAGGTAAGATATAGCACATACATATTCTGGAGCCCAGGTCATTTGGACTGGCATGGGAAGGTATTCCTACCCTAAGTAGGAGCCTTAATGATTCATATGTTCACTATCACAACTGCAGCAGTTTACTATGTCAGCTAGAAGGAACGAGATCTCTCCACAATTTTTGTCAGGAAGCTACCTACCTCTGGAAATGGTGGTGGTTCTATACCTTCATAGTAAATGCACCAGCAATACACCTCAGCAGAGACCTACCTGGGGGCTATAAATGGTCCTCAAGACAGGATGTCTTTTAATTGATGATGATAGTTTCTGAAGGTGGACCTTTTTAAAGTTCAACCAAGTTCCCACAGTTTTGGTCCAGAAGAGAAGTGAGTCAAGGCTCCATATCAGATACTTTTCTATTCTCCCTCACTCCTGGGCTGATGTATGCTTTTCATCCTGTTCTTATTTTACTTGGGGCCTTTAAGAAATGGAAACAAGATCCAGGTCTGGGTTATTGTGATAACACCCACATGGATCAAGCAATTTTGGTTCTAAGATCTAGTGAATGTGTCAAGACAATGGGCCATCAAGTTAGCCAGTCCTGCTTGCTTAATCTTAATGAATCCTTCCTTTGCTTGGACCAGTTGTCCATAAACCTAAGCTCTTTGTTGTCTGGATGGCTACAACAGAGAGGGTGTTGTCCTGTGGTGCAGGACATATTGCTTAAAGTAGACCAGTGGGGGCCAGCCTTTTTGGCAAGTATGCCACAAATTAGTCTCACAGTGCACACCCCCCCCCACCTCCGAGTGCCATTCTGATCCCTTTCCTTTGCCCAACTGACTGCTCTGCTTTGTTCCCTGTCCTGTGCCCCTGACAATCTCCTGTTCTGCTTTCTTCTCCTTGCCCCATGTTCTACTGTTGCATGTTCTCCCCTGGTCTGCTGTGTGCCCCACACAGAAGCTGTTTGTGCCTTTTGTGGTGCACATACCACAGGGTGGCCACCCTTAAAGTTAAGGTGACCATATGTCCTATTTGGCTGGGGCAGTTCTGGATTTTAAAGACCAGTCCCAGCCAGTTGGTAAAAATTGAAGCAAGAATCCCAGAATTGCAGGGGTGTGCGCTGTGTTCTACCAGGGAGGTAGAGCAGCGTGGTATGCCACCTCCTTGCTGTACCACCCATGCCACTGCCTGTCAGCCTCTGTCACTGTCTGCAGCAGCACTGCTGACTTGGGTGGGGTAAGGGGGTGGCAAAGTCCCAGATGTTCCAATTGTCCCTTATTTCCTTATGGTCAACCTGCTTAAAGCAGACTAATGAGAGCCAAACAAGGTCTGTCTGTCTGTCTGTCTGTCTGTCTGTCTGTCTGTCTCACTACTAACAGCTCCATTACCTGCTATCCAGATTATTTATTATCCTTGAAACACTACAGTATATTCCTTGGGGCCCTACTACATGCTCAAAGTAAAGCTAGACAGAAACCACCTATAGAGTTGTTAACAGCTTTTCAAGTGCTAACTTTGTAGCTGGCTCCCTTTATACCTGGATAGACTTTTATATGGTGTGATTAATTACTTTGCATGTGTGGCTGGTCTAAATGTATTGCATGACTAACCAGTTAATTGCATATTAATTACTTTGCACTTGTGGCTGGTCTTACTTTGCATGTGTGACTAGTCTAAAATTATTGTGCAATTAAATTGCATAATATAAGTAACATGTGGTAGGGGCCTTAGTTTAATCTGAGTACACTTAGCAGTGCTATCTGCTAACCATCCTCCTTTTCTCAGGGGATTGTCATTCTCTAATATCTTTTGGTGTTGAAGTTCCTCAAGGGGTTCATGTACATCTTCCCAGAAGGCTGGGAGCACCTGCCATCATGGGACATCCTCTGAGAATTGGTTTCTGAGTAGAATCTCTGGATACACACTACATGCATAATGACAACTGAGTCCTTGGTGGCCCTCACACCTACTAAAAGTATAAAATGAAATACAGGCTTTCAGATTGAACCCACCTTAAATAGTCTTCCATTTAGATTTGATCCATATATATTTTCTTCTCAGGTGGTCTTTGAATTCCACACCACCTAGTCTATTCAGTTGCTGCTTTTCTTCCTGAAACTACTTTCTTCCCTTAGTGAAAAGAGACTCCATGTTTTGCATGTTGTGAGGATGTTGTCTTTTTATTTGGATAGAAATAAGCCATTCAGATGTACACTTTGACTTTCTGCATGGCATATGCTGTAAAGTTGAAGGGACAACTGGTATCTTTACAGAAGCTATATAAGTGATTCTTAGCATGTATTTAGATCAGAAAGATCCACCTGGACTTGTTAGGGCTTACTTCATTTTTGCTGTGATGCCTTCTGTGGCCTGCCTGGTAAATGTTTTCATGTAGAAATATGCATGCAGTACAGAAGCATGGAGTTCAGCCTATATTTTCATCTTTTGTTATTCCCTGGCAGAGGCTGCCATATTGGATGTGGATTTCATGAGTTAGACCTGTAATTATGCTATAGATGAGGGCTCCTTCTAAGACTTGCCCCCCAAGTTAGGCTATTTCCCTAATAAGATTCTAAAATTTACCCAAGAGAATCATTCTCAGGTCTGGGACACTCTTCCTTTTTATACCATAATATAGCATGTAAACAAGAAGCAGCACAGAGACACTGAAATCACAGTGCCATTTAGAGGAACCAGTGGAATAGGCTGGTGAGAGACTGGGCTAGTGCTGAGCAATAGAAATTGCTTGAAGGTAGGGAGCAAGGTTGGTAGCTGGGGCTAGAAAACAGGGCTAGTCTGAAGCATGAAGAGCCAGAAAGGTAGATCAGTAAGAAGAAGCATTGGCTGTGCTGCAGTTGATGAAGAAGGATGGTTCATTGGTTAGAGCAGGACTTGTACTATTTTCCTGTGTTGATTCTGGACAGGTCACTTAGCCTATCTGCACCAAAGTTCCCCATTTGTAAAATGAGGATAACAGTACCTCCCTACATCATATGGATTCTTTGAAGTTAAATATTTTAAATGTTGTGTAACGTTTGGACAGAATGGGGGGGAGGGCATAATATTATCTGTGAGGTTGATTGTCAAATTCAGAATCCCTTAATGTAAACAGAAGCAGTTAAGAGCGAGCACACTGGCAAATTAATAAATACAAATAACTGAAACAAATAGTTTTGATGTTATTGTATTATTTTAAAGATTTAAAGTGGTCTGTTTTGAGTTTTGTGTATGTGTACTTAGTTTCAGCTGTTAAAACCAAAGTATGCATAAGTTATCAAGATCTGAAAAACAGCATGTAGGTCTTTTTAAAAATGAACTACTTCAAATTCCTGAAGTCCTAAGCAGCAACTTCATTCTCTAAAAAGTAAAATCTATATGATAAGAGAAATTGGTGCAAGTTTTATGAGCGCACACTTTAATTTTAAGGCCTGACTGAGGGATTTAATTAATACTATAATTGCAAATTTGACACTTCCATATATTCATATCTCGGTTGTTAATCTTTATGGCGTCTTTTGACTCCATCCCATATGTGCTGTTTGACAAAATAGTTGCTCTGATGTCTGACCTTGCATCTCATCCTCCTGGACTGTGAATAATCAAAATTTGCAGTACATTTAAACCTTATAACAGCCATGAATGGAATTTAACTTGAAACAATTGTTTCATGTCTTCCATGTTGTCATTATTCTTTAAGATATTGGAGATTCCTATGAGTGTTTGCCTTTTAATGGGAAGCAGTTTCTCATGGCAGGGCTCCATTACATTCTACAGTATCTAGGTACTTTGCCATTTAAAATGCATGCAATTCCCCTTTAAATAGCATTTTACTAGGCATGAAATAGATGGATGAAAATTGGGGAACCCATCCCTCCCTTACTAGTTACCTTCCTTTTTAAATTTGTGCTTATTGTGGGTGCCTAGAACCAGCCCTTTTTCAGATCTATGCCTCATATTTTAACCTCAGATTCTTAGAATAAAAATTACTAAGGTGAACATTTTATCTGTAACAAGTATTACATGGTTATTTCTCCTAATATTTAGCATAAGAAAATGCCAGTTAGAACAGGTAGACTATAGATGGCATAAAATGAGGAATAAAGTAGTTTCAAAGTATCATCCATTCTGGTTCTAGGTAGCAGTGATGGTTCAGAACTTAGTGAAGAGACTTCATGGCCAGCATTTGAAAGGTAAGAAAACCTGTCACATTTAAACCTATATTTTCAGTTCTCTTCAGATAGTACTAGTTAAACCTATTGCTCAACCCCACAAATGAAATGTCATTTTAGTGATGTTCAAGGCTCCCCTCTGTAATAAACTGGATGATACTCAGTGCTTCTGGGTTATAGTAAATCTCTTGGATCTTGTAAAGCCAAGTGAGGGGCATCACTTTACCATTATTAGCTGACGACTTTGCTACCTGGCTTATGGCACAATGTAAAACAAGCCAGACTACCACTAAACTTGTACAATACTCTCAGCATCATGTGCCACCCTCATTTTCTCATTTTCACATATCTTCAGAGTTCCCATCTCTTGCATTCTTGCGCTGTATCCCCTTACTATTGTCCCCTTGCTTTGAGATTCTCCCATCCCCCCCCCATCCCCAAACTCCATGTTCTTGCTTTCTTTTCTACATAGGGAAATCAGCTATTACTACTTGTTGTATGAATAAAGAGAGGCAGATAGCTACATTGCTCTGAAGTCATGCAGGGTAGGATGGCTTACTTAGAGGTGCCTCTCTGAACAAGTTAGTCTCTGTGGCTGCATGCATACATTCAAATCATCCAGGACAACTCTCTTAGGTTTGTTTGCCTGGGGGGGGAACCTGACCTGTCCAAAAGTTCAAACAATAAAGCAATGAGCCTGCATGGTAAATGCTGGGCAGTCAAGGGACCTTACAGCACACAGCCTAGCAGAAATTTTTGGAGACATTTATTTATTTATTTATTTATTTATTTTTAAGTGAATGTAGGCAGGGATCATCAAGGAAGGTGGGGGCATGGTTTGTGCCATGTACAGAACAGTCCTTCATCCTTCCCTCCCCTATGCTGTATTTGAACTCAACTAAGGCTGGACAGAAAGTATGCTCGTATGCTTCCCTGCATCCAGGTGCTGCAGTGTGATTCAGGAAGGGATCAAGCCAGAAATGGAATACACCTCCTAACTGCTTCAGCTCTGGGCATTTCCAGCCCAAAGTGCTCAGCAGGCATGTTCTTCTCCCTGTTTGGCTGGGACTGACATACTGTTCCTTTCCCTTGGGGAGAGTGGGGAGAACCAGCAAAGCACGCTGGGATTTTGGAGGAGGACTCTGAACCTGCTGCATACAGACATTCTGTCTCCTGAGAAATATTCTCCGGAAAGCCTCTTCACTCAGGTTGTTCACAAGTTATTTTTCTCCCCGAGCAGCCACTTTTACACTGGAAGAAAAATTACTAACTTCTGTACCCTCAGGGTTGTACCAGAGCTCGGTACATCCATTCATAAAGCCCAAGGAGGAATCAGTCTAAGTTATGCAGTTTTCTGTAAGCAGTGTAGTTTAGATCAGTAGAGAACATACATCTGTCCTTTGAATGAGAGAGGCAAATCTTAGACTGGGCTCCACCATTGTTAAACCTCTATGTGCTGAGCTTCTCTTTTGTTATGGCTATAGACTGGTTTTTTGAAACGTAATATTTTTTTTATGAGAAATTGTAGTGAATTGAAGTGTGTTTAGCCCACCACCTGTTTATACACAATCTGCTTTCATATTCATGGAATCCATCAGTCTAGAAACTGACTTGGGTGACCATACCTACCAGTATTCATGGTAATAGCTTAGTTGGTAGATACTTTGGCCAAAGTATTTGTTTATGGCTAGGAATTGTAACACAGTCCAAATAGTTTGCTTGTGGTTAGTACAAGTAATTCAAATGGTAGAAGTTCCCCATGGAGAAAAAATTAAATTTTTTGCTCTAATATCTCTTCCTATAAGGGCTGTTTTAATTCATGGAAGGAGCAAAACAATTGCCCTTAAAATAATTAATTGCATAAGTAGCTAAAACATTCTCTTAAGAGACTGACTGTTCTTGGGCTAAGCCTTGGCACTAGCCTCCAAACTTGTTTTGAAATTTCTACTCCTAGAATAAGCATAAAGTCATATGGATATATAAAGAAAATCAAGCTATAAAGAAGAGAATCTGGAATTTGCGTGTAGTTTTTTTTATCTGTGTTGCAGATAAAGTTTTTTTTGAAAATTTTTGTTCTTCCTACTGTACTCCCATGAAACTAGAGAGCATGATTGGAAATGATTCTGAGACTGAGATGTGGATCTTGTCTTGAGTAACTCTGTGATTCTGGTTCACTAGGATGGCCAAAGCATTTATTTCAAAGTTTTAGAGATGGTGCTGAATGTTATCACATTGGCGTTGTGACACAGTATGCAGCAGGTAGAGGTTAGATGCTGAAGTTTCTCTCATTGGCTGTCCTTCTGAATGTTGGTAGGTATGTTTACTTAGAATAGGTTGAATTCAGACTGCTGGATTGCTTATTATGGGGGGAAAAACAAATATAAAAGTAAGAATACATTTTATTTCCCTAATTTGCTTGAAAAAAATAGATGCAGGTCACACATACACAACCTTTGATCTCTAAGTTTTTAAAATAAGTTAGTTTAATTAAAATTAAGTGGAAAAGCTATCTGTCTAAATTTTTAGAGATACTTCTTAAAAAGTGAAAAAAAAATATCCTTGAATTTGTAAAAAGTAATCTGGATTGCTTAAGACCAAGATTTATTCATGTTGGACAATATTTTTGGGGGAAAGAAAATAGGGTCATGATTTGTTTGCAAAGTTTTTCAAGATTCTTATCACTGAGCATGTCTGCACAGGATGCTTTGAAGGCCCGTTAGCCTAAATTTAAGGCACATTAGGGCATGTGTCTACACGTGCATGCCCTTAATGCACTTTTAAAATGGCAATTTTGGGCTAATTGCACCTAAATTTGATGCTTGCAAACGCAGGTATCAAATTTCAGCACAAATAGTTAAAGTGCACATGTAGATATGTTAAATCGCATTAACTCTGTGTATGGACTGACGCCGAACTAACTTTATTCCCAAATCAGTCCACACACCGTGCTAATGTGCTTTAATGCCTGTGTGTGTAGATGACTGCCTAAACCACTTAATGTGGGTCACCAGAGTCTGGAACACACTCCCAGCAGAGCTGGTGCAGTCACCCTCCTTGGAGGAGTTCAAGATGAGGCTTGACAGGCACCTTGTCAAACTCGTCTGAGCCCAGTAACTTCCTGCCCATGGCAGGGGACCAGACTTGATGATCTTACAGGTCCCTTCCAGTTCTATGAGTCTGTGAATGCGCATTAAATTTCGGTGCGCCTAAATGCATGTGTAGACATGCCCACTGATTATGAAATAATTTGAGTTGGGGGAAAAAGTAAAATGTCTATCTTGTTTAATCTTTTTTTATGCTTAGTAAGTGCCTTTTTCAAGACAGCTGTTAGCTTCCACAATTTTATTTACCTGTTGTATATAGTTCTAGGTCCAAATCGGAGCTTGAGGTTCTCTTAATTGGTTTGGTCTCAATTTTACATAAAGTTGGGCTAACTATACCAAGTTATCTTTTCAGATAATGCAGACTGTACCTGATATCTGTTGCTCTGATATTAAGAGGAATTGTCTGCCAAGCTGGTGGTTATGTCAGTAATCACCTGCTTTCTTCAGAGTAGACCTACATGTATTTAGTTGTTAGTTGTGAAACCTTTATATGCAACACAATGGCTAGGAAATCCAAGGAGCAGGGGAAATATAATACAGGTCTTCAACTACCTTTATTTACTCAAATATAAGATTTTTTTGAGCATGTCCCCCTTCCCCTCTCCTCCCTCTTCCCCTCCCCCACCCATCAGCATGGTGGAGAAAAGCCCCTTGTCTTACATTCGCATACAAGGAAACCTCACTAAATACATTGTCAATCATTAAACTGCTGCCAAAAGCAGCATGTGTTCATAATGGAAACAAGCTATGAAGTTGATTTAATGCAGTTTGATTTAACACTGAGCATGACTGTAAAACATATACGGCCCCATACTGATTGATAGGAACCTTTTTTTGTGTGGCCCTTCAAAACAAAAAACAAAAACAGGCACTTACTCCCCCAGAAAAGAACTGGCACTGGGCTGGAGGGTTCTGCAATACCAGGCCAGCAGCAGGAGGGGCAGAGCCAGCCCTGACCCTCCCCTTGGTGCCAGAAATGCTTGATCCTAAAAAGGCTGAGATTGATGGGACCCTACCACAAGAATCAGTTAGTGTAGCCCATTTGGATAAAATCTGTGGTAGTGCCCATTGCCCTCAATCCCTCTCATTGCCAGCTCTTTAAGTCAGATGAGCCACTGTATTGAATACATTTTGACTACTTCTTCATTCCTACAACTGAGCTGAGCCTTTCTTTCCCACTTTCAAGAATTCCTGTTTCTTCACCAGCCTCGAGCATCTGGCAGACATCACCAAATGCAGCCCCAAATGGTTCACCCAAGAATCCCTTGGTCAGCCCCTCTTTATCTTTCTCATATGATAGGTGTGGACCTACACTTCATTACGTGAAGCTGTGCCCGGTTGCCCTGTCTCTCATCTGCATATAAATTTTTGGAGGCTCCCTAGACTTACAATAAGAACATCTAGTTCCAATCATGACCAGGGGTGCTAATTAGCTCATGGATCCTTTGTGGGGGTACCTGGAGTGCAAGCACATACTGAGCAGTGCTGAGCTGTGGGGTCGCCATGGCTTGAACCACTGTTGACTCTGCTGGGGCCCAGACCAATAAACTGTATGGTAAATCATGAGCCTTTTGGCTTTGGAATATGCATATTTTGTACTATATATAAAGTAGGTACAAAAATGCTGCTTAAAAGCATGCTTATGGGCTACTTGTGCTAAAACTTCTAGCAGTTTCAGAAAAGGTAAACTGCATCAGTCTTGGATGAACTGAGTTTATGGTTCCTGTAGTGATTTCCGTATATGCAAGCTTCCCTCAGGTATGTTTATTTCAAGGGCAGTGTTTTCATATTTTCCTCTTTTTTCCATATGCTTATTCAGAGCAAATGTCTCATGGTAAGGTGGGTAAAGGTGGAGGTGGGCAAAGAGTCTCCCTCACTCCCCAGAATTACTTTCTTTGCTGTAGCAATGAGAAGGGGATAGATTTAAGGTAGATCTCCAATAATTAGATTCTATACCTGGAGAATTATAACAGTGTTATAAACTTTCCATATATAGATCTGATTATCAGGGGTGTCTTATTCAAGTAATTATGGTAATAAAAAAATTCCGTATTTTTGTTCCCTTCAATGTGGGGCTACAGCCATTCTAACCCCATTATACCTAATGTTAAATGAGACACAGTAATCAAAATGTAAGTCTAAAATCCAAGTGGGCAGTAATATCTAAAACGGTTCTAGTTAAAAGCACAGACATGTAACCTTCCTGTATAAATTTTCTGTTCCATATAAACTGCAGTATTGTAATGTTAACATGCTTGCTTAGTTTACTTCATTTGCATTTGAGTTTGGAAACTACAGCTTTTTAAGTTATAAATTACTAATGAGATATTGCTTTGCTGATTTTCACCAGATAAGTAAAGGTGTATCCAGTTTAAAGTATCTGTCTTTTATGAATATTGTGTTAAATAGATAATTGTCTCGTAGCAAAGTGCATGTGATTTTCAGTGAAAATTCTTGCCTTCAGAGGTTGATTTGGAAATAAAGGGATTCCATTACGGGAGACTGAATTAGCAAGTTTTTGTTTTCGTCTAACTAGCAGTTTGCATGTGTGTCTGGTTTTCAATCCAGGGCCCCATTACCCTTTGTTTCTTGTTGTATCATCTGTAGTCAGAATTTAAAGACAGAAAAATCTGCGATCTAGTTCCTTCCCATATTTTCATTTTGTCCTATGAGAATGAAAAGCCGCCTTTTTGTTCTCAAAGCCCATTCATTGAGGTGCCAATAAAAAATACCCCAGTTATAAGCACTGACATCAAGAACATCTGTTTTTAAATAAGAAATAGATTTTGAAATCTACTTCTGCATGTTTAATCTTAATTAAATTCTCCACTATACCTTATTGTTGGAGAGGTAGTTATGTAGAACAAGGAAAACTTTTTTACACTGTTCTAGGAAATAATTCTGCTTGTGTGGATAAAAGTATATGTAATGCATACAATTTATAATGGAATTCAACAGGAACAGATTATACCATTCTCTCGGTCCGGTGACAAGAGTGGCACGAAATGGCTATCGAGGCCACATGAAGGCCAGCAGGTACAATCGCCCTGCACACAGAGGTCACAAACTTTCCCTCTGGTGTTGGTGACTGGTTTAATAATTAAGTGGCTCTCTTCTGATATGTTTGATCTTTCTAACTTTCATCTCCAAATTAAGATAGTGCCCTTTTTCTTACAACAGAACTTCTTTTTCTGTGATTTAATCTATATCATCATATGGGCTTTGGCTCGTTCTGATCTGTATATCCAGTTTCTAAGGCATTAAATCTTTACATCAAGCTGTAAAGATGCTTTAAGCTATTTAATATAGGTAAATAGAGTAACCATGTAAGCCACAAAGCTGCTTGTCATGCTTGAGACTGCAATCAAGTTATTTTCTTTGCTAACAGCTTTTTATTAAATTTGCCCTTTTTTCCCGCCAAAATTATCAACTTGTTTAACTTGCAAGCCTGGAATTAAACTGGCCCTTTAAGTGCCAAATCATTCTCAATAAAGGAACTCCTCAGAAGTTGCTAAGCTCATGTAACTTTGTTCTGTGCAGTTAAACTATAACCTCTGTCTGCAGCCGTGTGGTTTGCTAGTTGTAAAAGAGAAGGCAGTAGGTCAGATTCTATGCAGTAAGTATCAAATATTGTCTGTAACGGAGTTAAATTCACATTCATGTGTCAGTCTCTGAATTTGTCTGCATATCCCTGGCAATCGCTAACTACAGTGTAAATGTTTGCCAGATTTCTATGTTTTTTGAATATGCATAAATGGTATGATAAATGAACTGATGGATTCTGGTTTACTTCAACAAGCATTTCAGAAATTTTTGCTTCCTCAGCTTGCTTCTAGAAAGCTGATGGATTCAGGAGTTTAATTGTGTAAATGGTTTGACATGCACTGACATGATTCCTGAAGTGAAAATAAAAAAAGAAATAATTTCTGTTTTTAAAATGGATTTTTGTAAGCCAGTCAGCTGCTCAGTTTTAATAAAGTTAGGTTTCCTTTTCATAGTACCTGGCATCTGTTTTTGGCCCCTTGCTCATGGGCACTCTTCAGACTCAGAGAGGATTATTAGAACTCCAGCTGCATTAAAAACGCTATCATTTACTGCTGTGGGCCAGCTTTTCTGCTGTTTGCTGCTGCTGCTGTTACTGCTTTCAGATATTTTACAAATGAATTGTGCATGTTTTTCTAAGCTTGTGTGTGTGCACGCACGTGTTGCAGTTTTACTGTCTCAAAGGATTCTAACAAATAAAAATATCCAGTCTTTGAATTAAGAACTAAGAATGAACTTCTAACAGAAAATTGCAATAGTATTACAGGTTTGCAGATAATGTAAACATTTTCCCAGTTAATTAACTATAGTTGAATTTTTGCTGTATCTTGAGCTTTGGAAAGTTTGTTTGTGTTTTCTAAATCCTAAACCACCTGCTGGGCTAATTAGTTTTCTAATCACTTTTGTTTTTGATTGAAAATTCCACAACAATACCTTGTAGGAGCCAACGTCCTTTTCCACAATGGAGTCCAATAAATTAAATGCCAGCATTTCTAAATTAAAGAACAGATGTTTACATTATGTTTTGAGTAATGATTGGAGAAGTAACTTAAGAAAAAATGTTTGTTTTTTCACACTGTTGTCTCGCATGCTTCTTCTAGTTCTCTAGAATCTGAAGATTTGGCTGTTCATTTGTATCCTGGCGCGGTTACTATTCAAGGTGTTCTCAGGAGGAAGACGTTGTTGAAGGAAGGCAAAAAGCCTACAGTAAGACTATTATATGGCCATTTTCCCTCTTCCTCTGTTTTAAATTTTAAAAAGTTCCTGGGCTAAAATTGTGACTTCTTTGTTCACTTTTACCCCAATCTTTACTGAAAGTGGCCTGGTAAAATCAGCCAGACTTGTGCTCAAATAAGAAATGACCGAAGGGCCAAATTATATGTATATCTGCCACTTACAAGCATGTTTGCTCATAAATGTATATATTCTTGGTATTCATATGTATTGTCTAAATCAGGGTTAGTTATCATCAGGGAAGATGATCTTTCTTGCCCCATCAAAAGTATTCCATTAATCTTATATGTTACCCAAATTTTTCACTTGCACAGAAATGCTTCTAAATGTATGTAATTTACTATAGTCTACTTTTTTGTCTGCTGATATCCTCCAGTGAAAAAAGAAAACCATTATAATGTTGATGCACTGTATTTATTAGAGTAAGATCCTGGCAGTTAGTAAAATTTAATATTTTTACAGTATTTCTGTTTAAAGTTGACCTGAGCCTAAAGAAAGAAGAGTTCAGTTTTTTTACAGCTGCCACAGCTTTAGATCTTTTATGCATGCAGTATTTAACCTTCTGCATTGTTGAGAGATGCCTGTAATTAATAGGGGTGTGCGAAGCTTTGATCGCCAATTCGATTCAGAGAAGATTCAGCCTGATTCAGAGGCTGAATCACTGAATCCAAATCTAATTGGGAGACAACGAAAACCCTCCAAATCGATTCGGAGCCTCTGAATCAATTCAGAAAAGATTCAGAGATTCAAAAGGCAGTCTTTCAGGGGAACAGAAACTGAGAAGAGGGAGGAGGAGCAGGGGGGAAAGACTGACACCTGTAGCTGGCCAGTGACCTCTACTGGTCACAGCTGGACTGTGATCTTTCCCTGAGTCCCCTTCCAGTCACAGTGCTCTGGGGGAGGGATGTGGAAACAGCATATAAGCCTCTGTCTGTAGCCTTTCTGTCCCTTTTGTGAGCTATTTCTGCCTGAGCAAAAGAGGGGCAGGTGGCTGGCCCAGAAACAGGTGGGTGGGCAGAGATCTAACTGGTGCCAGGAAGGCCTCTTGTTACAGGCTACCATCCCTGCTGTTTTCATCCAAATCTGCCTTAACACACAAGTGACATGAGTTTTGCTTTCAGTGGTTTGAGGTGCAGTTTCCCAGAAACCACTACACCTATCTCCTTGAAACTTGGCAGGCTTCATGCCTTCATGCGCTGCTGTTTTCATCCAAATCTGCCAAAAAATGACAAATTTTGAGATATTTCGGTGATTCTTTATAGTCTGTGGCTAAATCACCAAATCTCTACTGCCAAATCTTCCGAAGCAGATTTGGTCGAATTGATTTGGGACAGTGGGTTGAACTTCTGAATCAAATCACTGTCCTCCGAATCAGCTGAATCCAAATTGAATACTTCCCTATTCGCACAAGCCTAATAATACTTGGCGAGAGTAAAACTAAACATATTAAGGACTAAATGGTATCCTTCACTAAATTCCTTTTTCTTCCCCTTTTTAACGAATAGCATTAGCACTGTGCTAATGATGTTTTTATATGTAATTACTCTTCTATAGATAACTGTTATGCTCCCTCAAGCCAAGGCAGTTTATAAAAGGCTGCACAAAATAAATCACAGATTAAGACTCCAGTGATGGGCTCTTGTAGCTGTGCAAAACTGTCTTGATGTTAGTACTCACCTTCTCAATGTAGTCGCAGGATCTGAGGTCTTAATTATTTTTTTGTTTCAAAAAGGTATTTATCTCAATAATGTTTAAATTGGTTTATTTATTCAGAGTCTAGTAGACTTGTCCTACCAGACTCTGAATTTTATTCATATTTTTAGATCTAAATATTTTTCTTCTTAATCCCAGTGGATTTTTTCAGATTTATTCCCCAAACTGGTATTGTGTGTTTGGAATGTGACTTTGTTTATTGCTGGTGACTAGACTGTTAGTAGTACTATTATTCATGGCCAACTGGAGTATAGAAGTTCTAAACATTTGTTTCCATACCCCTCCATGTTGGCCAAATAGCTCCAAGGAGTAAACAAACTAAGTTTCTTGGACAATGTCATTCTCCCCATTTATGGTTAGATCTGTAGTTAGTATAAACTGGCATGTACCATTTTATATCATCTGCAGTATGCACCATGTAGATTTTTCTGTAATTTGACAGTTCTTATTTCTTGGGTAGCTCAAGCATAAATACCGTACCTACTCCTGTATCCCTCATTCTTATTAGGAAGCCAAGGCTAACATAATGATAAATGTCCTTGTTCTAGTAAGATATTTATTTATAAATAGCCTTCTCTTTAAGCAGTTGATAATTATATCTTAATGCAAATGGCTTCCTTTTTGTTCTGTGTATTCAGTTTAGATTTTGAAAATGCTTAAATATCCTGGCCTGCTAAATCCACAAGTGTTATCAGGACTGTACAAACCATAATAAAGACATTTAAAGCTACTAGAATTTACTGTCAGCAAGTAGTGCTGTGAATATGCTTGGCTTACAGTGAGTCTTTTTTGTTGCTATGTTTTGTGGCAAATCTTGAGAAATAGGTTAAAATATAATTAAGGTATCATGTAAATGTATACAAATAAAGTGGATACTCACAATACTACATTTTCTTTTATCAGCTTGATTTTTATTTCCACTACAAAGAAAGAAAAATACATTTGTCCTTTTTATTCATTAGAGGTTTATATCTAGTATCAAGATGTTTCAGTGCTGATGGCCCAACAGCAATGATATTCTCTTATCAGTATTTCTTCCAGCAGCAGGAGACTTGGATTTTATTTAAACATTTTAATTTCAAGTGACAATTTGCTAACAATGAGCAGTTTATCAGAACTGCGTGTTTTGAGTCAAAGGAGCATAAGTTGTTTGGTTTTTTTTAATTGTCATAAATGCGTCTTGCATTCACCTGACTTGTGAATTATGGAATGTGAGCAACATTAGAGCTCCAATTTCTTTCTTCGGAGAGGCACATGTTAAGGTATTATGCTCAGTTTTCCCGTTGACAGACAGATAAGCACACCGCTATGTAAAGCATCACCTGATTAATGTTAACTTTGTATTTTAATATTTAACTAATGGGTTTTGGTATGTATCGTGCATATAGTCTGTTATATAATAGTAATTTCTAAACAAAAACAAATGCTCTAACTCCTTGATGATGATGGACCCTTTATGGCAAAGGTATAATTATACCTTGTATGTCAACACAAGTGTTGAATTAGAAAAAACTTAATGAAGTCAAGGAAAAAAACATAGGTTGTTTAATGCCTCGGTCAATGGTAAAGAGCTGTGTGATGCTTTCCTTATTCATATTATGTTCCGTAAGCATGTATTCTAATTAAACTAGAAATAGCATCAGTGAAAAAACAGCACTTTTTAGTTGAGGAAAAGTGCTGATGTAGTAGTTGCCCTCACAAAGTTTGTTGCATGATGAAGTTAACATGAATGCATTTCTAACTGCTAGGCAGCATGAAATATTTTATTAATCTGTTGCTCTCTTTTTATATTCTAGGTAGCATCTTGGACAAAATACTGGGCAGCATTGTGTGGGACCCAGCTTTTTTACTATGCTGCAAAATCTCTGAAGGCTACAGAAAGAAAACATGTATGTAGAATTATGAATCCCCCAACACTGTTTCTCAAAGTTCAAAGTAAATGCATGTTCCTGATATAAATATCAAGAAAATAGTTCAGGACTGTGTCCTCCAGTCAGCCAATCATCTCATATATGGATACAACTCAATGGAAAAATCATGTACTCTTGGGGTACGTCCAGAGAGCACAGTCATGCAGTATGTGGTGCTGCAAACGTGTTTATATCCAGGGGTTAAAAAAACAACAACTATGCACATGCTTGGGCAGCATGCACTGCTAAAAAGCGAAGCCAGGCCACTTGGAACCACACTGTGGCTGCTGGCCTGGCTCTGCCTAGCAGGATCACTGTGGCTTCAGCCCCAGGACACCCCCAGGACCCCAGGTAAGGCCCCTACTGCCCCTGGGGCAACTTGCTGCACTCCAAGCGCACAGGGCAGGCCAGGCAAGCTGCGGGCTGGGGCCGTGCTGCACTGCAGTTGGGGTGGGTGGCAGTGGTGCTGGGAGGGGGCGCTATGGCGAAATTTGAGGTGGGTGCAGCCTCCTCTCCTCCCAGCACCACCACCACTCGCCCTGAGTGCAGCGCTGCAGCCTGCCCAGCACAGATCCGGGGGCACATGCACCCCGCACCCTCCTGGATGAGTGGCAGGAGCCACTTCCTCCTCCCTGCATGCCCTGGATGAGCTATGCCTCCATCCCGCCCCACCCTGGCTGGGCAGCACCTACTCCAGCTCCGCTCCCTCCCTCACTGTGGGGGCTATTGATCTGCTCCCCATGCCCCTTCCCTCCCCAGTCCCCTTTCACTACAGCAGACTTACCAGCTGCACACAGCTGTATTGGAAATCGGATCTGTATCAGCTGATATGCCTCCTTAAAAATCGGCTGCCAGTATCAGCCGCCAAGATCTCTATCTGTGCACCCCTTATACAAGTATTTAAAAACCTGAGCCTGAATTGATTCAATCTTTGCAGGTTAGTCTAACCTGGCTGGGCTGAACCAGTTTGCAAGTGCACAGGTATTTCCCTCTGGACTGAGAAAATGCAGGCACATGCCTGCAGTGGCTCAGGCTAGAATTCAAGGGGCACTAAAGCAGCCCTCTTCCCTTCCACAGTAATGAGCTGAGGGGGGCGTGGTCAGGCCCTGGCAGGACATTACCAGCTGACCTGTTGATTAGCCTCAAAAAGCCCTAAGCAGACACTGTCCTGTCTGCCTTATACAGACACCTCTCACCATTTAGCTAGCATACCACATGCTGGCTATGGGCTGTGCTGTGGGAGCGGGGGGAAGGAGGGTGAATCCCTGCTTGAGCAATGAGTGGTGAAGGGGGGCGGGTAGGGGGAAGCCAGTCTCTGCTGGAGCTTCAGCTAGGGAGCAGAAGGGAGGGACCAGCCGTGCTCTGGAGCAGACAGCCCAGCCCGGGGCTGCAAAGTATCTGGGGACTCTGGTTTAAGTTAAACCAGGAAGTGGTCTGGAATTGCATTAAACTAGTTTGACCCAAATCAGTTAAGTCTGATGCTACCTTCAACCAGGTTTATCTCGACCCAGTTTCAGCCGTTTTCAGACTGGTTTATGTGCGCTGAATGTCTGTTCTGTTACAGGTTTAAACCAGTTTCTAATAACTTAAACTGGTTTGTGTGTAATGTCTGTCCCTAGCCTGTGTCTCTGCCTGCCTTTTTACCGCATTTTTCTAACAATATTTGACTGTTAGAATATATTCCTACTATATGCCCACTAATTAATTATAAACAAGCAAGCATTGGTATGAAAGGGCTGAGAAATGTGTATATATTTTAATTGGGTAACAAACTAGGAAGTGTGTAAACTTCACCCTTTCAACTCTTTCTGCCTCCACTGTCTAATTCAGTGGATCTCAAACTATGGTCCATAGACTACCAATAGTTGCAGAATGCTTTTTGGTGGTACAGTAAAAGCTATGTTATCCAGCATCCCCTGGGAATGGGGGATGCTGGTTAATCAAATATTCCGGTTAACCAAATGTGCACTGTCTGGTTCACTCCCCAGCATCAGTGTGCCAAGGGACAGGGAGGGCAGCCCTGCGCAGGCTGCCTTGCCTGGGCTGTGGGCCAAAGAAGTGGCAAGAACTCTGCTCGCTGCAGTGGTGAAACCTGGAAGTGGTACTTCTGTTTTCACTTTTGCTGCGTCCCTCGGATGCCGGTTAATAGAGTTTTCTGGCTAATAAAGTGCCAGTTAACACAGCTTTTGCTGTACTTAGAGAGCTGGTTTGTAATGTGTTGCTGGCTTTCTTGTTTCCAGGTGCTAAATCACATTGAAAGAAGCTAAAAAATACATTAAAAACTTTACTATTACTATATGCCCACAAAAATAATTGCTGTAGATGCCCCATGGGTGTTATGTTATAAGCAGTGGAAAGGGGAGGTTATCTATGCAATCATGAATGGGAAGTAGTTGTGTCCAAAATAATCTCTGCTAAGAAACTGAAAAGATCTGAGAACCGCTGATCTCTACTATGTATGGTCTTACTATAACCATTACTTCTCGGCAGTAATGCTATCCAATGTATCAAATATTTGCAAGGCCTGTGACTTTTGTCAAAACCCAAACTTTTGTTAGATTATTTGCTTTACATAAAATTGTGTAGGCTTTACAGTGATAGTTGTGTGCTAAAATCCAATAAAGGAAACAGTCTTGTTTTTTTGTCATACAAAATGTTCTTTTCCTGTTTTAGCATTTTTTGTATATTAAGGACAAAGGCTTGGTTCTTACGGCTTTTATTAATAACCTTCTGGATCTCTGAATGCTTTGCTTTACTTCCTGAATAAAGATTCTGCTAAATATTGTCTTAGTTTATATAGCAAATTGGGTATTTTCCAACCTCATTTAGAAGAGTTCATTGGGAAACAAAACAATCTAGTATTGAAGTAGCTTAATGACTAGTATTTTGCTAAAAAGGTTTGTATGACTTCATTATCTTTTCTCCTTGTTTAAGTTGACTTTCTGTTTACTTAGCTAAGTAAAGTGGTCCTTTTTGATCTGCCCATTGTTACTGCCTCATCTGAAAGTTGGACAGAATTACCTCTAATATTAATGGAAAAATACTGATAGAATCAGTTTTGTCAAGAATAGAAGCAATAGAAAAGAACAGATGCACATGATAGAAATATAAATGATTAAAGTAAGTTAAAAGAGAAAATCCTGAAAGAATTTGTGCTGGCATTCTATCATCAAGAGTTGATTGTGCATCTTTCTGAAAGTATTGAAAAATAGAAAAACATCCTTTCTCCTAATGTTGTTCTTTGGGTTCCTGTTGTTGACTTGATTCCTGTTTGGTTTTATTCCAAAAAATGTATTTTTCCAGGAAGAGAATAATTGTATTATAAATCTTGCCTGCTGTTCTCTCCTTTCAGAGTATCAAATAATAACTCAGCAAAGGGACATAATACTCTACTAACATGGATGAAAAGGGATTTTACTATACATGTGACTATTACCCAGCAGGTATTTTTAAAACCAAGCAAAAGTGTTAAAATCTTAATACGTGAAAGAAGAGAACTTGAGGGAGTTCCACAGGTAGTGATTATGTTCTGCTTGTAAAGTAAAGATTTAACTTCTGTTTTAGGTGGTTCATTTATTAGCACAGTTACTTCAACTTAGTGTTTTTTAATCCAACATGCCTCATTGGTCTGCGTGTTTTTAAAAAAAAACAAACCAAAAAGCAAAGTTACTTAAAAACAAAATTATCATGGTAAACACGGGTAACAAATACAAGAAGATTCATGAATATCACACCAAGTGGGAGCAATTTTTGTCTCGCACTAAAAAATTCTTTTCTGTAGTCTTGAAAAATGCATCTGCTGCTTATAACAGTTCAGAGTATTATCTGAAAATCATTTTCGTAGTCAGCAGCCTTAATCATGCCCCCCTTGTCTTCACATCCCTTCACCAACTTCTCCTCATCTCTAACAATAAATCGCAGATAAATTCTTCCTGGCATCAAATGTAGCAATTAGTCTGATCCTGAGCAGAGTTGCCAAGACTTGCTAACCAGGAATTTCCAGGTATTAGTACCAGCAGGAGCATTGGTACACCTCAGTCTACTCTCAGCCTGGCTTTCTGGCCCCATGCAGTAATCGGCAAAGCCCAGAGGCATGGGGAATACCCATAGTATAGCATAGGGATAACTACTCCTATGTCATCACTGAGCCATGTTTACGCAGCCTCTTCTTGAAAAACTCCAATGATGGAAATACCACAACTTCCCTAGGCAGCTATTCCATTGCCTTACTGTTAACCAGTGAAAGTTTTTCTTGGTATCCAGTCTAAACCTACTTTGCTGTGACTTCAGGTTGTTGGTCTTCATTCTCATTTTTGCAGCAACAGAGGAAAAGTGTCATCTTTGTGGCAGTCCTTCAGATACTTGAAGACTTTTGTCATGTCTCTGCCTGTTAATTACTTTTTCTGCAAGATGAACGTGCCTATTTCCTTCAATCTCTCCTCACATGGCTTGCTTTTACCATGCCCTTTATCATCCTACCACCTGCCTCTGGACCCTCTGTAGCTTCTCCATTTACTTTTTAAAATGTTGTACAGACACAGTACTTCAGATTAGGCCTAACCAGTGCCAAATAGAAGCTCTGTCACCTCTCAGGCCTTACACCTGATGCATCTCTTGATGCAGACCAAAATAACATTTGCCTGTTGTGTGGCTGCATCACACTCCAGACTCGTATTGAGTATAAATATAAGCTGCTTGCCTCTGTTTCAAGGCCTTTCACAGCCTGTCCCTTCCATCTCTCATTCATTGTCAGGAGGTCAGTTCCAAGCTGTATCACCCACTGGTTAAGACTTCAAACAAGCACTTTTGTGTTTTCTTTCAAGATGCCCCTTCAGCTAGGGACAGACATTCAAAAAACCTGCACCTGAATTGATTAAATCTTTGCAGGTTAGTCTAACCTGGCTAAGCTAAACCAGTTTGTAACCATACAGACATCCCCCTCAGCCATTTTCAAACTGGTTTATGTGCAGTGAACATCT